AAAAGAGAGAGGGCTACATGCATGATATATAATATTTTATGAATACAGGCATATTTACTGTATGTTGATACCTTTCATATGAAGCTTTTTGTTTTATATGTTTTTATGGCAAATCCGTTTTACAGATAGTTCTATTTTTATTTTATATATATAAATATTTTAGTCAGCAGAATGGTTTATTTACTGGTGGTGATTTTAGGGATCTCGGAGCTCACTGCAGCCAGTGAATGAGAAGCTGATAATGATGGTGCTCAGTTAGTGATGACCTGTCTTGGCCCAGCAAGAACTGCTTAATCTGGTCAGCATTCTTAGCAAGTTTCTTTTTTATTAGTGTTTAAACTGTATAATAATGATAGGAATTTTCTATTCCAGAATTAAATTATTATATTACCTTGCCTTCGCCAACATTCAGGCATCTAATGCTTTTTCTTCTTCTGAGTGGCGTTCAGCTTCGTTGCCTCATGTTTTACCAGCATTCTCATTATTTACAAGCGCTTGTTGTATAGGGTCATCAGTCCTATCCCACTGTTGGATTGCATGGCACAGAAAAAAAATTAAACAGTAGTGTTTTGAGTGGGATTAATAATTTTAGGCATAGTTTTCTTTGAAAACAATATTACTACTGTTTCCTGAATGGGAAATTTTAGCTCCTGCCTGCCACTGTATGCAATTCAAATAAGGAGAAAGGAGTTCTCTTAGATGCTGGTGTTTTATCACACCCTTATCAAGCACTTCCAGCTAATTATAACAGAATAATCAAATGTCACAGCTTTAACAGGCATTTGTGTGCTAGTTTTATACCCATATTATAAAGCAAATACAGAGTGTGCAGAATAATATGGTAACTGAGTGGAAGATTAATGCCTGCCTGGGGTGTGTAAAATATTTTATGACTCTGAGATCTGGGCTCAGAATTCAAGTCAGAAACTGCTTGACATAACATGGAAATCTCAAGCCGTAGGTTCCCTGAGTGGCTCTGAATGGGGATGAATGTCATCCTAAGCAGCAACTGTGCTTCCCATTGGTGTTCTGGATTATGTGGAGCAGTAGGTCTCCAGTGGCTTTGGTGGGTGGGTAAATGGGTTTCCCTTTGGCAGTACAGAGCATGTTTCTGAGGTAGTTTGTCCCTGAATAGAAATTCAGCTACAGGGTAAAAATTTCAAAAACACCTAAGTGGCTTAAACTGTAGTATAAACTTTTCAAAGGAAAATTTAAGCACTTAGGAGGCCAAGTGACTTAGGGTCTATCTACACTGTAGTGTTAGATACCTGAGCCTGCACAAGTAGCAATCTAGATGTGGCAGCACAGAGCTCAGTGCTGACTTAATTTGGCCTGCCAAGAACCTGGCAGTGACTACTGGGTAGATATTCTTTTAAGTTCCTAAGTGACCAAGGGGGCTTGCAGACATTCACTTAGTGGTGCAGTGGGATCTGATCCCTGATCCTAGCAATCCCATGCATGTATGGCAAGATGTGTGATTGCTGGGATCGGGGATCAGATCCCAAACAAATCCCAAATGTAGATGGGGACAGGGTTCAGCATCAGGACTGGGGCAATCAGCTGATTGTTAGCATTAGGCTGCGGGTGGTACTGGTTCAATTTATGGTACCGTAAATGTGGAATATCTTTGTGTCTGGCTTGCCACTTTATACCACCATGAATCAGATGCATGTGTAGCACAGTTACTATTTATAGCACGATTAACACATTAATTGCATCACGAGTGTAACATGTACCAGAAGCTTAAGAACCACTCCTATGCTACATAGTTATCTATGTGACACTTGGGCTACAAACAAATGTTATGGTTGTCCTGGAAGAAATGATTTTCTTCTGGTTCAGATGTCCATGTCTATTGTCTCAGGACAAACCCTAAAAAGATTTGCCGGATGAGAAGTGTTAACCCTTTGTGTGTGACAGGTTGCCCTGGGATTGCATCATTGAATCACTGGCTGAAAAGCAGCAGTGCATTCAGCTTCTCACTAATTCCTGATTGCAAGGGCGTTATATGTACATGCCAGTCCCATGACTTTTCTGGTCTGGGACAAACACGGGCACAGCCGGTCCCAGGACAAGTACAGCATCTGTTTGTAATCTTAGATATCTGTGTGTGATGTTGATTTGAGTTTTGGAAAAAAAAAACGGATGCTGGATGAGTCCCTCTCCTCGTGGGAGGAGAAACAAACCTTTTTGTTACATATTCTTAAGACATACGAAAATGTGTGTTACAAAGGTAGATGAACTAATGATTTTTAGGTTTTGAGGCAGTTTGGAACAGGATTGCATGTAAAAGCCCTGGTGCCATTTAAATGCCAAAGAAATGAAAAAGGATCTAATCCAAATCACTTTTTCAAAATATAACTTAGATTTGCTGTTTGGGCCACCCATGCACAACTAGAATTGCCACAGTGTCCTCTAAGTTTTCACAAGAAATTTGAATAAACAACTGCGTGACTTTTCACTTTATCTGTGCACTGGTAACATTTTTTGGTGATACAGGAATTTTCCAGTCTCTCTCCTTAACCAACACAAGCATGTGTCACAGGGATGTTGAGCTAAGCTCAAAGTGTAGCTCTTCAGTTTCAGTTTAACACAACTCAGTATTAAAACATGTTGTCATCAAAGGGCTAATATTTTAAACTAAAAATGTGCATGGTTTTCTTTAAAATATAAAAATCAATTATAATCAGGACACAAAATGAAGCAGTCACCCTTCGGCCCTGACCCTTGGTGTCGACAAAAGTGACTTAAGCCATACAGTAAAGGGGTTCCCTTTCAGAGACAGACCAGGGCTTTTCCTGTAAGATTTTAAATTTGTAACAGTTAATTTCATGTTTTCATTTAATCTTAACATTTTATAACAGTTCAACCTGCCTTTTGAAAAAAAAAATCTAACAAAGAAATTTCTATTACAGCATTCAGAATTACCAAAAATAATACTTTTTCCCAAATTGGTTGATTTTACATTTAGAGGCATAAAACATAAAATACATAGGAAGTATAAACCAAAAGCTTCCGAAGTCCTTCCACTAATTCTCTTCTTTTCAGTTCAGTATCCCATGCCCACTGATGTAATAGTTGGGTAGCACTCATGGATGCCTATAGACATTTGAAAGTAATATTAGTCCATAAATAATGTAGTGTCAGTGTAAGTAGTTGTGCACTTGGGAATCTTAGACTTGCTCAATAGACTCCCGTCTGTTTCCCTGCCCCTTCTCCCTTGGAGGAGAGGCTACTGAAACCTGGCCACTTCCTGTTGCCCTTCCCTACCTTGGAGGAAGGTGGAGGTATAACTTTGTTGCTAGCTTTCCCACTTCTTACTTGACCCTGTTTCCCACAATGCTCTTTTCCTTCAAAAGGTCCTAAGGTACTTTCTTGATCTGGAGTTGCCTGAAGTGGTTAGCAGAGAACGCTGACCTATTGCCTTTGTATTTTTTCACTTTATTTTTCTATGGGGTAGTCAATAGAACCCTCTGGGTTTTTAAGAGACTGGCTTGCTCCCTACTTTTTGATTCTTCTGTGGAGCTAGCAAGAGCACTGGACTCATTTTTCCCACTTCTGGTTGGAGCTTCTCTCAGAAGCCCTCCTCACTTTACTGCCATACACAGTTTGCACTTGGACATGATAATATTCTGAGTTGGAGGGAAAAGAAGCCTGTCTGAGTCACATGCAAAGTAAAATACCCATATTTAACATAATTTTGGCTTGCTTCACAAAAGGATCCTCTACTTTTTCTTAGGAGAGCCATGCAATTTACCCATAAACAGATCGTTAAGCATCATTAGTGCAAAGAATAAATGTACCGTAGTTTCATATTAATTAAGCACTCTCTACAGAGTAAACTTTGAAAGTTAAATGAGAAATTTTTCAGCCATTTTCTCAAGTCAAGTTATTTCTCCATGGGTACTAGGGGAGCTCACTTAGCTTGTTCCATAACCAAGGCTAACCTTTCCCTTAGTTTGTCAATAACAGCAAATGGTCCACATGCTGTACTGTTGCTACAGAATGCTGTACACATATAGAAATATTTTAGAAATAACGCCCCCACGCCAAACAAAGCCAAACCAAACAATTCAGCTGCTTTCCTTTGTAAACATTTTCCGTTCCATTTTCACTGAATTTTCCCTCAGCCTTATTTATTTTTTTATATTAATCAAAATGTGACTTGGGTAATACATTACATAGTTATTATACTGGGAAGATTTATTTGGAAGGGAATGAGGGATTTCATATTGCACTGTATTTAATTCAGTCATTCTCAGCCAGGGTGCCATGGCACCCTGAGGTGCCTTGAGAACCTTTCAAGGATATTGTGAGGTGACATACAATATTAGGTGTGCAAGTATGATTCACAAGATAAACCCAGAAATTTCAAATAGGAATCATAGTTTCATAGTTGGTAGCATCAGAAGGGACCTGAGCAGATCATCAAGACCAACCCCCTGTCATGGCAGGAAAGAATGCTGGGGTCAAATGACCCCGGCTAGGTGTCTATCACACCTCCTTTTAAAGACCCCCAGGATAGGAGTGAGCACCACTCCATAGTGTTAAAGGCAGTCTGGCCTGTTCTGGCCTTCCTGAGTTCTTTGCAGTAGGATGATTGCTTTATTATTTTTCTTTAGTCCAAAAATGATTGAAAACTCATGAGCTGGTATTTTCCAAGGGGTGCCTTGACTCAGTTGAGGGACGCCTGGAATCTAAAAAGTTTGAGGAAACACTCTTGTCAGAAAAAAAGAAAAAAATACCCAATGCCAATTTCTCTACTGCTTCACAGTTGTAACATTCATTCCTG